GCTCCCAAGAAGATTTGATTTTCACCGGCTGACATGTCATGTGACTGACATGAGGCTGACCCAATCTGTAGTTCACCAGTGTCTCCCTGCCATTTTTCTATATAGGTGTAACATCTGGCTTTCTTGAGTTGCTACACTGCTGGTCTTCATGACCTTCCAAAGATGACAGCAGCACTGTAATGCCATCAGCCAGCGTTCTCATTACCTTTGGAAGCATCCCATCTGATCCAATACACTTCAATAGATTAAGATTTCTCAAAAGACCCCAGATCTGATCCTCTTCCAGTACTGGTACTTTACCTACTCCTTGAACCCTGACTCTAGGTGCAAGTACCTTGAAGACCTTGTCAGTGAAGACAGAGGCAAGAGAGGCCTTGAGTAACTCAGCCTTTATTCAGGGCACTGTCACTAAATCACCTGCCACAGCAGGTCCACGTTTCCATTTATACTTTTCTGCTATCACAGCAGAAGCTCCTTTTACTGCCTTTGAACCTTCCTTGGCCATTTCAATACTAGTTGAGCTCTAGCTTTCCTAATATCATTCCTATGTGCCCAAACAATGTTTTTGTACTCCTTTGAGCTTGTCTTCATTTCCATTTCTGGCATACATAAAATCCTTGAAATACAGCATTTGATTTTAGTGACATGAGGTTTAGCAAAGTAAATTACTCACTGCATAAATAGGACAGTAGTTTAAGCAGATAATTCTTTTTCAGCACAAACTGTTTTGCTCAGATAGATATGCAGGATATCAAATGTTCTAGGTGCCTTTCTAGCATCCACATCATTCTATCTGTACTTCTAAATAAGCTATGACAATTATTTTTTTCTCATAGTTTGTTCTCTAGGATCAAAACTCAAACATCTGGCTCCACATACAAATGCATTTGAAATAGTCAGAATGAATAAAACTCTTTGCAAGCCATGATTTTTCTTTATAAGTAAGCTGCATAAATCAGTGACTAAGCACAGCACCTTCTACATGAAACACTGAAAGCTGCAGTTATTGAGGCAGTTGGTTTTAGCCCAGATTTTAACAGGGAAAGTGTCCATCATAGTTACTCACTGATAGGCACTGGAGCTTAGATGGATTTTACTTGGGACACCATGACTCTCCATCCGGGAAGCTATATTTACCGTGTCTCCAAACAAGCAGTAACGAGGCATCTTCTCTCCAACAACTCCAGCCAAAACAGGACCTGTATGGATCCCAACTCTAATCTTTACAAAGACATAAAACAGCCCCCAAAAATGTCACTTATTATTTAACACATTTCTTAATGCTATCCAGCCACCTAAAAAAATCATTCTAACACAACAATGGACATCAGTAAAATATCAAATATCCACAGGGAGACACTCTTCATGAAAAATGTACCCATGTGGGCCTTTCTGAAAGTCACAGAGGAGTCAGAATAAGCTCTTTGATGTCCTACTGCAGTACATTAACCATAAGACCAACCCAAGAAGCAGAAAGACACACATGCACCTTTGTGTTAACAACTTACTTGGATAGGGTTTCCAGAAACTGGATTCTGCACATCTTTAGCTGCTATTATCATCCCCAAGGCAAAGTTAGCAACTCGCTCAGCATGAGTGGATACAGGCACAGGGACCCCACCTACTACCATATAGGCATCTCCAATTGTCTCCACCTTTAATTGAGAGGGACAAGTACATCAGCATGCCATGTGTCTTGCTCAGGTTAGTGCTTTGCTGTCTGGGGCTTTTCTTCTCTGCACCAACTCCCCCTTTCTTCTAGAAGATGTTTCCAATCACGAAAGAGGTCTAGCACATGTGACTTTCCTTGAGATGGGGACCTTTCTTGACTTCACATTAAAAATTTCAATGCATTCTGTCCCTGCTTACCTGACACATTTTAGATATCAGTATCACAGATGCTAAGGAGAAAGAGATACTGTGAAAATGTCAGACTTTTTGTCTTCCTCTTACCCAGGGCAGACCTATATGCAAAGAGCTATCTCCAGGCACAGACTCCTGAGCCAGGAGGTTATCTGCCAGCTGAATCCTCTTAATTAGCTCTAATTCACCGGTGGTGTTAAAAGCATGTTTCTTTTTCAAAAGACATTTCTTTTTCTTAAAGCCACAATAAAGCGAGGGAGCCTACTTACTGCTGATTATTATTATTACTAAGGGGTTCACATGCAACTAAGAAACCTCCAATCTCCAGTATGTCAGAGAATGCAAAGTGTTAACCAAGCAGTTCAGGAGCATCCTTCCTTACAGCCAGCTGTTTTCCCACAACAAGCTGCAGAATGTGAAACAAATGGTGAAGGGTTTGTCCTCCATCAGGCATCCAGTTCCCTGGAAGTGCATGATAAGGCACCTAAGAAATAGTTTGGGCTTTGTCCCTGGGAATAGAATAGGCCTGTTTGCAACAGAGAGTTCTCAAATGTCTAAAATTCACTGTAAAACTGTTACACATTAAGGAAATTTTCTGAACTGCTCTTATGAGACTTCACTGTTACATTTACAGTCAATAAGTAACGGATCAGTTTAAATCAGATTGATTTCCTAAAAATGAACACCAATAGGAGATCAGGAACATAATTTCATCTTTGGGTTTGTTCATTAACACAATGACTTAAAACTATTCAGCGTGTTAGTCTTGAAAAATGCGTTCTTGTACATGCCTTCTGTCAGATAGCCAACTCCACAGTAATGCAGTAATTTTCTGTAGCAAATTAAAAACAACTGTAAAAAGCTACTAATGCAAATAGATACCCTAATTATTTATCAGTCATGGCAGGAGATTTAATTTAACAAGATTTTTATTCATACCTTCAGACGTTTATAAGTTTGGGCCAAGTGTCTTTCATCAATTTCAGTATTTTATTTCTTTCTCAATTCCCTGAAATAGTAATCTCAACCTCACTCCTGTACCCTAGTCACCTCCTTCAATATTAATAGGAGTTATATACAGGTATCAAAAGGAGATTATTATAGTGACAGATAATTTACTCATGATGGATGATTTAGAATATAATGCTAATTTATCCTCAAATCTGTGGGCCATATCTTGAATGCTTCAATTATTGAACACAGTTTCCTCGCCAAGTCAGAAATGCTTCTGATTTCCTAGTACAATTTATTGCAGGATGAAATGCATGCCTTGCCTGAGCAAGGAATGAATGAGACTTGGATTTCGCCCTTTACTATTTCTGCTTTCCTTAATAATTAATGTGGTGGGGACAGACAGAAACTTAGAACTTGCTCTTCAGCTCATCAAATCTGTGTAGTTCTGGAGATGTTAATAATGCTATTATTTTATGTCAACCAGGGCTCTGATCCTTCCAGCACAGTTTGGAGACAAGACACGCGTTACAGCCTAGATCTATCCAATGCTCTCTGGGGTCAACAGGAGATCTATACCATTGCTGGAGACCTCCATGAAGCAAAACAAAGTTGAAGTATTATATGGGTATAGTTTGTAATGTTATTTCCCACTGAAGGGGACATAGTGACCTATTTACAACAGAATGGAATAAAAAGAACAGGGAAAATTATTCAAATTGGTCCATAAACTAGGCTATCCCATTGTTTTGATAGGCATTTGAAAGAGAGATGTGTGAAAGAACAGCATTCTGGTGCAATGCTGTGGAAAGCGACTAACCCATGACAGACATGTCTGAAAATTTTAAACATATTTAATCACACCTCTGCCTTTTTTTCAATTTCTCTGTGTGGCCACTACAAATATGCAATATTTTATGGCTTACTTAAAATCATGCTGGAGGGAAGAGGATTTAAGTGCATTTAAAAACAAAACAAACCAAACAAAACAACCCGACAACAGCAAAATCTTTTCCCAGATGATTTCTACAGCCTTCATCAATGAGTACATACCTTGTACACATCATGCACCGTGGTCAGTCTGTCAAATCGCAGGTACATTGAATTTAACATGAGAACTATTTGAATAGGCTCACATTGGGCACAAATGTTGGTAAAGGTCACAACATCACTGAACAATATAGTGCACTCCTTGAACTCTCCTGTGAGCAGAAAGACCAATAGTAAGTACTTGTAATAACTGGACAATCACACACCATCTATTTGAGACCTATTTGCAAATATTACTTTCTCATCATTTTTCTAGGACAAATGACCCATCAGTTGTAATACTCATATACAGCTGCTGATATGAAAGAAAGATGTCGATATAAGAGTACATGAAATATAAGAATCATCACACATTTCAATTCAGGCATCTGAATACATCCCTTTGTGCATCCATATTCAGGATATACTCAGCTCTTTATTCCTAACTTCATAGGTATGCTTACTAAAGGAAATTAAAGCATATTCTTACTTGCTGTCCTTAATAAAAATGGGAATCATGATGATGCTAGCTTTATAGATAGCAAAGATGAACTGTGAAAACTTTCCAGGAAAAAGCGATCTCTTTATTTTCATTTTTGAGGCCCCATTTCCTTTTGTGATCATGTTAAAAACAAAATCTCAGTTTACTGTTGAAACACTGAATTTTGTTCCCTGAATGGTCAGTTGCTACCACCTTTCACTTCCTAGGAAACTATTTTGCAAACAGCTTCCAAAGCTTTGTTTAAGAGTAGTCTAATATTTATTACCAGAGAGATTAAGGATCTGTGATCCTCCTCCTACCCATGAATGTCACCAAGTTGAAAATGTACTCCATGATAGTGGCAAAGGACTGTGCCAGCACCCGCATCCCTCTATCACCATCACCTGATGCATGAATGCATCCTGTTCATTCACCTGCCTCAACTCGCTTCCCCTCTTTCAGCTGGTTGGCCACATGCTGAGGAAGCATGGCGTAGAGCAGAGCTTCAGTCTTTTTCTTCTCTTCCTCCAGGTGCTTAGATAGTATCCGCAGTTCTTCCTTCTTCCTCTCCAGCTGGTTAGAGAGCTCCATCTCTGCCAGTCGCTGCTGATTGAGAAGAATCAAATCCCTGGTCACGTCATGAGGTGCAATGTCTGCAATATGCATCTGTCGCTCTTCCAGTTCATGCAAAGTGCGAAGCAAAGGCGAACAGAGATAGAGCATGCACTGCAGAGACTCCATCCAGATCATCTGGCCTGTTTGAAACAAGTACTGGTAAGAGTTTTAAGCAGCTTGGACTTTCACGTGATGCTCAGCATTGCTGATCTCAATTTTAGGGGGCGAGTTCTAAGGACAGTGGTTTTTGATAGGGTCTGGACCAACATAGTAATTACTCTGTTTCAGGGAATTAGAGCTGGACTTGTTTAGAGGAGGTACGGGAGGCAAATAAAACGATAATCAGGACCCAGAGAGCAGTCACTCATTGCAACTACTAGGCAGAGACCAACCATGCTTCAGGTCCCTCCTTTTCGTGAGGAGCCCCAGTGCTCACAGCATCTCTCCTCTGCTACTAGTTCTTGAGCTGTTCCTGAATCCAGTCAGTCAGCACCATGCACAGGGGAATTGAGACTCACAATGGTTAAATGAAATGCTCAAAGTTTAATTTCATAGTGGATAATATGTAGGCCAAATAAAATCAGCAGAGCCTTCCTTCCTGGGAGCTGGAGCTTTTAGTCACTATGGTCACCTAAATAAGCATGTACAAAAATGCCTGAAAAGTAGAATGGATTTTTGGTGGTGGGGGGTGAGTTGTTGTTTTCTCAATTGAGATTTGGTTATGTGCTTGGGTTTTTTATATTTTATTATTGTTATTATTTTTATTTGCTTCCAAATATTCTTGGTTTCTGAACAACAATCTAGAAATTCCTATTTATTTCTTCTCCTCTCACCACATCCCCAGGGCAACTGAATGAGCAGCAGATTGGATCAGTAAATATACCATGTGAATTAACCCTGATAGCGTAAGAGGAAGTAAAATTGTACCTGTGACTAAAGTTCCTTGTTTTGGTAGCACTATTTTTTTTCAAGGTCTCCCTTATCTCTGTTTTTTACTGAATCTCAGGAATACCAGATTTGGCACTCATTATGTAAAGGTGAAAGGAGAGAAGGGAAAATTAGGCCATGTTACATAGTTCAGAGGAGCAAAATTGAGGTCACAGAACACTTAAACCAAATGCCATTACAGTTACTTGCACACAGCAGAAAATCATTGCAAACTCATTCCTCTCAGAAAAATAAAATAATTCTAATTTGTAAATTCTTATGTAACATTGGGGGGTGGAGGGGGCAGGGGTTGAAGACAGAAATCAGGATCTGAAAATGTGACAACAAAAACTAAAAGCACAGCTAACTATTTTTATCCACACTTGAAACCCAGCCAATGGCACATAACGCCCCTCAAAGGCATAAATTAAGAATGAATCATGTATTCACATTTTAGGAATCAAAATGCATGGAGGTATGGGGGAAGCCATTTCTTTCCTCGAGCTGTAGCAATGGTATCAGGAATTTGTCTCTAAGCACTTCCCTTGTCCTCTGCCCCTCCTTGCCCAGCAGACAGGAACGGAGCATCACTGGCAGGAGTGATGCTTGCATTGTGTTATCATGGGAATGCTCACTGCATGTTTCACTATTGTCTGTATGTGGCAAAGATGCAACCCAATATCTGTGAAGTGACATTACCTGTGCTGGGTGGCTGGGTTTAAGATGTTGTTCCACATGCAAAGTAGTAATTCCTTCGGCAAAGAAAATTCTTAGCAGGGCAAAACAACTCTGTATCAGGTGCATAGGATGATGCATAGAGCTATGGGGAGGTGAGACCTGGACAGTTACTTTCACACAGCTCAGTGCATCTCCATGCTGAGCCTGGTGACTCCACAAGCAGAAGCTGACTCTGAAGACTGGCATTGTGTCCCTTCTACAGGTTCCCAGTGAAGCAGAAGGCTGTGGCTGAGGGCTGGGGAAGGTTCACGGAGCAACTGGCATTGAATCCCAACTAAGCCCAAGAGTAACAATACAACCATGTTGCAGGGATCACCCCAGAGTAATGCCTAACATTATATATTTGCTTCTAACCTCTGCAAAGAAAAACACAGGGCAGCATTATGGGGGAAATCTTTCCTAGGAATGAGCATGACTCTCTGAGGTGCCTGTACACAAATGTGGACAGCATGGGGGAAAAAAAAGGGAACTAGATGTCTGTGTGCAGTTTCAGAGGGTGATAGTAAAAAAAAATTCTTTGTGTTATCCAATGAAAGGACAAAAGACAAAAGACACTAACTTAAATGCAGGAATTCCATTTAAACATAAGAAAAAAACCTTTTAACTGTAAGGGTGGTTAAACACTGGAATGGGTCACCCAGGGAGGTTGTGAAGTCTCCATCTTTGAACGTACTCAAAACCCAACTAGACATGGTCTTAAGTAACCTGCTCTAGTTGATTCTGCTTTGAGTTGGGATGGACTAGACAATCTCCAGAGGTTCCTTCCAAACTCAACTGGAATTGAGTCAATTTTGTGACTCTGAAAAACTGAGATTAGAGGTGGTTCAGAAAACAATCTAATCCTCCTTTGACCTTGCCTCTGTTATTCAGGAAACCTGCAAAGATGATTTTGCAGCATTGGGAAAACAGTGTCTTTCTAAGCCTTTCAAATGGAAGCACAGGTGTTACTTTTGACTGAGCCTTCAAAATCTGGTGAGGTAATAGCTGAATTTGTCTACAAGTATCTTATAGTACTGTCTCTAAACAGAGCCATGCAATCTTCTCCTCACTGCACAAAGGCAAAGCCGTTTATAGGATTTATGTGAAACCAGAAGCCTACAGAAAGGCATTAGTTCAACTCCAGCATAATTCCTGATTCAATATGAGCACTTAGCTACTGAAAACAGTGAAGTACCTCTCAGCTCTAGCATTGGCCGTTGTTTCCATGACTCTGGCATCATCTCTCTTCTAGTCCGGAAAACAAATTGACTGTTGATAAATTTCTGAATGCTAGAGATGGTGAAGGGTACTTCTGGGTGAACAATACTGAAATAGTGATCCAAGCAGATGCCCATGGTCTGAAGGCCAGGTACAATCTTTTGAATGCTCACACCAGCTTGCTTCACTCTGAGCTTAAAAAGAAAATATGGACAATGTGTTATAATTCATATCCTGCTTAGGTTCAGGGCAAGCTATAACAGATCATTGTTTATACACTTACATGCACTTTGGTTTGCTATACTACATAGCTTATTTCTGAGCAAAGTTTCTATTAGTGGTTTACCACAAAGCTCTGAATGAGTGTCCTTCACAGCAAGGCAAAGTCCCCAGAAAGGAGTATTATTATCCAAATGCTCTTCCCTTTCAATAGTTAAAAAGAAAAGAAGTGATCTGTTTACATTTGTGCAGGCCTAACAAATAGCTTTACAGATAGCTGCAAGTGAAAATTAGCAATATCACAGTGTCCCTTGTGTTCCAGAAAGAAAATAACTGTGGCGTAAAATGTCTTGGCAAAGATTAATTTTCTAATGGATGCCATGGGTTACCTTCTCTTAACCATTGCTGTGTAGAGGTTTAGTTATTCTCTTTTAGCCTGCTGACCGTACATGAGTGTTTAACTCTTGCAGAAATATCCACCCTGCCTTCACTGCTTGTCATCAGAGTTACTGAAGCTCTGACGTAGCTACCAGTATGCAGGACTTGCCCTCTCTCCACACTAGTAATTTTATCAAATTATACAGACTGGATGTATTGAAAGGTTTAAAACTCTGAACTTTAACTAATGTGGACAATGCCAAAAAGCGGACTATGCATTCTGGACTATGTGTTCTGGAATCTCTATCGGTGTGATGCCAAAACATGTGCCCTGAGTGCCTGTATTCAGCTTTATTCTGCTTTCCTATTCTCAGCTTCTCCTTTCTTTGCTCCTGTCTTAAGATAAAATCCTATGTACAGAATTGTGAGCAAGAGGAACTCTAGCTTGGTGGGAACTCCACTGGCTGGAAAGCAGACTCAGGGCAGTCCCTGCCAAGACAAGGGCAATCCCATTGCTGTAGAGTATGTGTGCACAGGAGAGGAGACTCAATCTTTCCCTGGAAGATACAGAGATTTTTGGGACTAGTTCCTACTAGATGAGGTTGCATGCTGCCAGATATAGTAGATAGCTGGCTTTTCCCAGGAGGAACATGTAGAGCCTCAGCTGATATCAAAGCCTTACAAAAGCCTTTGGATAGATTAGTAACTGGGAAGAGAGGGTGACTAACTACAAGTACAAAAGTACAAAGACAGTTTAAAGGATGGGTCATGTCTCTGGCACATCCAAGTACAGGAAGGTGGCCAGGAACCTCAGAAAATTCTGTTCAGTGTTTGGTAACGAATAGGCTGCTGCAATAAACCTTGTTGGTGTATCTGCAGCTGTTTCAGATGTGGTAATCTCAATAAATTCAAAGGAGATCCCTCTCTGAAATGATCCAGATCCAATTGTTATGAGTGACTTCCTATTACGTGTCACTGTATGGAGCACTTCTGCGAATCCTGAAAATGAGTGTGTGCTGTATACAGAGCACACACAGCAGTGAACCATAGGACAGTCAAAACAGAAAAAAGTTACTATATGGTTTATGCAAACTAAAGGCCCTTACCACATGCTTGTCCTACCTCTTTGTCAAAAACCATATGAAAAGGAAGTCCATTGCAAAATGTTTTTGTGTCAATCCAAAGACTCTTGGGATAAACAGGATCAAATCCTCTCAGGAGCTTACCTGTGGCAAGATAAATGTGTAGCTTTTAATTGGGTCGCACCTCATCAAACCAGTCAGCATTACCTTTTAGCACTGGGACTGGACTCTATATCATGATGAGCAAAGACAAAGTAAACTGTGTGTGGGTCCACAAAAGTGCATACACCTGTGCTAAATGCTCTGCAGTTTAATCCACAGCTGATTGGCAACTGATCTGAGTAGGCTGAGAGTTCAAAATCTAACCACACAAAAAGCACAGAGCATTAGGTGCATTAAGTTACGTGGAAACAAACAGTAAGACTAGATGAACAACTGTAGACATTACTGCTCTATGAATTTGCAGATATCATAGCAACATAACACAGCTGTATCACACAAAAAATGTACACAGAAGTACATTTAATATATTTTGCTGGCTACTAAGGACCACTTATGGATAAAAAATCCATCATGATCTGGGTTTCAGTCTCCTATAATAAGAACTGTAGTTCATAGCACAAAGACCAAATCACTGTTTGGTTTCTATTTTATTTACCTGGAGGTTTTTCATAAAATGATCACAGATCTACAGAGGAGCTATCTACAGATCTGGCAAACAGATATTTCTCTAAAATGAATGAGTAAAACAAAAGGGCTCATCTAACTGAAGCGCCCAAAGCCTTTGATCTTCGCAGTATAAACTGGATTATCCAGTAACCCACAATGATCAAAAGGATGATTAGTTTAAGTGATCTCTGTCCCCCAGAAGGTGGCTACAACAGTTACTGCAGTAAAGTCTGTTTGATAACAAATGTTCAAGTCATTTAGGAGACTGGTGAAAATTACAAACACAGGCCCCAAGTTTTAGACCTCTTACTGCTTCAGGGTAAGTCAGCATGGGTTTTTCATTTTTCGAAGTCTGGCTCTTGATAATCCTTGCACTTATTGTTAAAGGATTTTATTTTGTTTTTAAGTAATAAGGCTACTCTAAAGTTTTATTTTGAATATATGTTAATTCATTACTCAACATATCTTCCCTTGTAATGCATGTGACATTGCACCAGATGGTACCAGGTTCAGTTTTTCACTCCATACAGAATCCAGACATTTTGGCGATACTGAGCTGGATTCTCATTCCTCTTGGGGAGTTAAAAGATCCTAACTGAAAAAAATCCTTCTGTTTTGTAAAGATATATAAACATATCATACATGAATGTATAAACAGAGATTACTATATTGGCAGTAGGTTTTTGGTAACAGTAGGTGTAATTTGGCTTTCAGAATTAACTACAGTTGGTAACTTTGGAAAGGATAGCAGCTACTAAGTTAAACACTCTTAAATTCATCATCAGGCTAGATGATGTCTGGTGACATGAGAAGAAAATATCAAATGTACCACACAATTACATTTTATAGAACAATACATTTCAGATGAAAATCCTGTTTAAGAGACAGAAGTGACAGGTCATATTCTGTGTAAGCGTCTGTCATTACTAAGCATGCTTATTATCTGCAATTTTCCTTTGATAACCAGTGTCTAACCAAAAGAAACATAACCAGAAACATTTTGAAAAGAGGCAGAGGAAATACAAATGGTAACTTCAAAATGGTTGGTGGGTGGAGAGGGGGAGGCTTACTGACTGTCTTACTGAAGACTTCAGAAATGGCGACAAGCTGCCTTTGAATGATCTCTCACCTCTTCCTACTGTGATTATTCCTCTTATTGTTTTCCAGTGACTTTTCTTGACAGGACAAACAGAGCTTCCTTTGTCTCTAACTGCATTCTTGCCTTTTTCAAAGTCCTGTTGAAATAAATCCAGAGGGAAATTCAAGGGTGTTTTTATTTGAATCGTATTTTAATAATACAGTGATAATGACTATTACAATACCTCTTTATTCTGTTGGTTCTCAGTTTGTTTTGCAGAGTCAGCAACATGTTGATGTGAGGAAGAAAATTTATTTCTTTCCTTGTATGAAAATACAGGGTTTTGAGTAACAAGAAAAATAATATGTTCTTTTTTCCCAGTTCTTTCTTCTTCTTCTGTTTGATTGACTATTTCCATTGAAAGCTCAATATTAAAAAAATCCAGGGCTGCTGCACCAATAATTCCTGAAGGAGAAACAAAAGACAAAGTATTGCCAAGAACAAACTCTTTCCATTTCCCCTTTTAGAGGGCCCACAGTGGAATTTCACTGTTCCCAAAATCATTTTTCCAAAAGACTCTGGAAGCAACCTGTATCATTCCTACTATTGTTGTTGTTATAAGAATATGTGCATAAGAGATAAGTTTTAAAGTTACTGTTTCTTTTGCCTTGTCTGATGCCAAATACTTATTTTCACTAGAAGCAGCTCAGCAGGATATTAGAAGAATGTGTCCAAATAGTCATACATACCAACAATATGAATTCCCATTAACTCAAAAAGTGCAGGGATTCTAAAGAGCTGTAACAATCCATTTGTGTTGTTGCAGACCATTTTCTTTTGAAAGGAAGGAATTATCTTTCATGAAGATGTAACATCAGTCTTCTCATTTCTGCTTAGCTATTAGGCGAAACATTGGACAATTACATGAAAAGCTCTGTCTGATATTCCAAATAGTTCTGTGCTTCAATAGGAATATGAAATGAGTTTTGACAAAGGGGTAAGTTTTGATAAGCTTCTAAATTCAGCGCTATCTATGAAAGAAATGAATATGATAAACTCTAACAGACCTTACAGTTATTTAGCCCTTGCAGAAGTACAACTGTGGAGGTTCCTAAAAATGCTGGTGAAACATTCAGTTTTGAGCAGGGTTCAGTAGTAGTTTTACAGACTGCATATGCTGGAGGACTATTTGTTACAGGATGAATGTGTGGATGTCTTCAACTATAATTTTTATTTCACTGTAATTTAAGGAGCAGGAGTCTCTGAGAAGGGATCAACAGTTGGACAAAATACACACCATGAACTTTATTTTTTCTTCCAGGAAGGCAATTCTATAGGTGTTCTATAGCAGGAATGGACCCTTATGGCCTGCATTTTCGTATCATAAGTCTTGATAGAAGCTACTGGGAGCTAGGAGTGGTCAGGCAGTAGGACAATACCAAGGGCAGGTATCTGGTGACTAAATTCTACCAGGCTCCAATTCCGTGGCCAGTCCTTAGCTGAAAAATGATTCTGAAATCTGAGCAAAGTGTGACTGCAACTATATGATTATGTGGCATATATATTGCATTACCAGCTGATCTGTACTCTGCATTCTATCTGATTACCTGGCACAATATGGCACAGACCTCTTCTGTCTGAATAGTAATGTAAATGCATTGACCCATCTTCATTCTTTTCTACCCTAAAAGATGGTGCATTCATCTCCTGAGGAGAAACAAACAAAAAACTCTTCAGTATCTTTTTTTGAGGAAGAAAACTGGTGAATTCTACTTGTACAAAAGCATCCATGTCTTAGTAAAATAAGCAGTCATGTGAATAAGCTGAATACCAGAAAATTAACTATGATTATCTGTGAAGGAAAATCTACTGTGCATTAGAGCCAATGATCTAAATATCTAATGCTGAGGACTACTCAGAAAAAAAATAATATTAAAATAACCCTAACACTTTGGGGTTATTCATTTCAGAACATAGGAGAGCCTGTTATAGCCTTTTTCTGTTATTTATGTATATATATTTTTATATATTCACACCTATGAGATGCTGTTCCTTGGGCTGCATCCTCTTGCAGAGTCTACCCATACCTGCTCCATAAATACTACTCGAACTTGCCTGGTAAGAAAGGGACAGGTAGCTGTGCAGTGCATCCAGGTTCTCTATGAACTCATAGAGATTTCCACCCAGTGTCCTCAGCATGTGGTCATAGCCTGAGCGTTTACAGAATTCAAAGAAATACTCTCCAAACTCTCTCAGAACCATGTCAGCAGGAACACCTGGCAAAATAAAGGTACCTTAAGGAATAAGAAAGGAATGGAAGCTCTTGAAATGCTGTCAGGTGGATTAAGAGTGAATGCAGAAAACCTGCCACATAGGGAGAGCATTTCAAAGAGCACAGGAGAGTAAAACCTAGGCTGCAGTCTCAGGCTTGACCCAGGATGGCTCATTTTTTGAGGGACAGTGACACTTACCTAATATTTTGCAAGCTTTGTCAACGAGCTGCATTGTGATCTCATCTTTGTAAACCTCAAAAGTCAAGAAAGAATCTTGGACTCCAGCCTGCAGTCTGCAACAGAGAAGACAATATTCTGGTCCTAGCTGTGCTGTAAATATAACATGCTTGGGTGACCCAACTGGCACTCATTTAAGCACTGCTTGCTGTTAAACAACTTCTCAACCTCCTCCTTCAAGCATTATATTGGAGCACACTACTTCCCCTAATGGTTTAAGGGTGTTGCTTTAGCATGGCTGAATGGTGGCATCTACCTCTCCATTTCTGCTATTTCATGTTGTGATATTATGGTAAACTGTCTCTAGCATCATCCTGTGGGGTGCTCAAGCAAGAGGAGTCTTAGTTTGTCTTCTGGTCTACTGGGTCATTGTTCCATGTGGCAAAAATATCAAGCCCTTGGGTCTCCTCAGGCTTGACAATAAAACTTATTTTTTTATATTGGCTTCAATGGCTATTGTGTGTATGTATATAAGTATCATTTATATATCTTTATATCTTAGAAAATAACACAGAGCTCATAAAGTAAAGGCAAAACCAGAGATGATACATTCAGCTGCTTTTCTGGAAGTGCTGGAATTAAACTGACTTAATATCAAGGATGACATCTTTTCAGTGTAATTACTTCTCAGTATTGTGCCAGTAAGCCAGCAAATCTGTTTCACAACTGTCTGCAAGACTAAATGTCATCCTTAGTTATCTGATATGACAAATTAATTGGGACAAACCAGTAGAGTGTGAAGGTAAGAAACTCTTGCTTTTGCCCTGCTAGTTACTTCTTATAATTACTTGAGGTACACATCAACTGCTGTTTATCAGTGAGAAATCATCATCCTCTGCTCCTAAATTCCTAAGCATTTGCTTTCAATGCACTACATTTTTTGGGAACACATTACCTTAATTTTTCCCATGTTTCTTCACCATACTTTTCAATCACCAAAGACTTCAGGCATGTATTTATAAATCCATACTGTAAAAGCAAACACATGAACATGGAAAAGCCATACTTATTTTCAAAATACAGCCCAAACATGCCATCTTTTTACATTTAAGATTTTATGTGGCGACAGCACTTAAGCCTTCCAGTGAGCATCACAACCTTTACCTCAGCATTTCACAAGCATTCAAGAAAACAGAGCAAACGCACTCAGTTTTGCTGTGCAGAGAAGGGCCCAGAAGCACCAGGTCCGGGATCACCCAGCCTGGAGCACGTTCCCGGCGGAGGCAGAACCGCAGACACGCAACGCTGCAGCAGCGTAAGTAAGTTTGGCTTTGCCGTGACTGTTATCTTTCGCGTTGGTACTGACAAACCGCACACTCGACATGGGGGTGGGGGGACGTAGGAAGAATAACCCTGAGTAGCACTATCACAGCAGCAACAGCCTAAGGATGGTGTGGTTCACATCCCCCAAAGCAACGCGGGTTAGCCTCCTGCCCCCGGCTGGTTGGTCTCTCAGGTAAGAGCTGTCTGTCCCCAAGAGCCGTTTGTCCCGATTTCTGCCCCCCCCCATCTCCTCCCGCTGCCCTCCCCGAGGCAGCCCGGCATGGCCCGGGGCTGGCGGCGGGGCCGAGCTTCCCGCCCGCTCCAGCGGGTCCCGCAGCCCGGCCCGCGGAGTCCCCGCAGCCCGCCCGCCGCTCACCATCCTGCCGCCGCCGCCGCCCGCGGGCTCCGGCCGCCTCCCCCAGCGCCGCCGGTGGCGTCCGCCCAGCTGTTCACCCGGGGGGCGGCCGCACGGCCAGGCCCGGCCCCGCCGCTCTCGCCCGCGGTGACACCCGGTGGACACAGGCAGGGACGCGCTGCCGAGGCTCCCTCCGCTTGCCCGCCTGGCTTTCAGCAGAAAACGTGGGTTTCCCGTAGCTGCGGTGTTGCAGGAATTCCGGGGGATGCCGAAGAGCATCTCGGTGAAATGGCATCACTGTCACAACCGCAGTTTCCCGATCCCTCTGGTCCCCCGTTGCTGGAGCCCTTGGCACAGCCAGGAGGGACATGGTGCAGGTAGACCTGATGGGGGTCTGCCCAGAGTAGAGGGACACCGGGCCCCACCTCTTGAAGCCCCAGCAGCTGAGAGGGTGACCAGAGGATGGTGACTCTTGACAAGGCTTTCTTAAAACCAGTCTTAGCAGAGCAGGAGCAGCAGTGATGAAGTCAACAACCACACGTGCCCTAGGATAGGTTTGTAGATAGAATCAGTGTCTTCCAGTTGGCTGGTGGGTGATGCTGAGACATGTATTGCAGCCACAGGCCTGACAAGAAGCAGGAGGTGAAGTCACTTGCCCGTAGCTCACATCAGCTAGGCTGTGTTTGCAGCCACTCAACCCATCTGAGAGGGAAGGACACCAGCAGGGACATTAACAGAAATACAATGATTGATTTCAGATGCAATGAGTTAATGGGGTTTAGTGCCTGGCTCTTACCCCTAGTTATCTCATCCCTAGGTTGGGAGGGTTTATTGGGGGGGGGGGGGGGGAAGAAGTTATTCATAGATCACTTCGGAGAATGAATCCTGAGAGGAAATGATGGAGAATTGTTTGGGGGAAAACACTCTCCCCTGGATAAAGATGAGTTCCTGTCCTCTGTCAGGCAAATTCATACAGGCAGCCCCGTGGGTGATGTGAGCCCCATTTCACCCACCTTGTTGCTGCTGTTTGATGCTGGGTTGTGGGACCACGTACTGAGCCAGTGTGCCAGTCTGGCAGGGAGGGTTTTGCTCATGCTATGGCGATTCTGAGATGTACTCATCGTTCTGTACTCATCTCCAGTCACTCAGCCCTCTCTACAAGTGCTGTACATGTTCAGCATGCACATCAAAATCTGCGTGGCAGCCCTCAGTGGGCATGGGTGCTGCTTTCTTAATGATCACAGCCCTCCCACTAGCCCTGCTGTCCCTGTCCTCTCACAGCCTCCTCTCTGCTCCCCTCAGCCCTTCTATCCTGCAAACACTGGCGACTCTTCCACAGCCTGAGTTTCTTCTTAAGAGCTGTGAGGTCGGAGCCAGGCTCAGGAAAAGAGAACTAACGGAATTCCTTGTCCCTGCTGTATTCCCACAGCTGGGTTTAGAAGGCTTGCTAAGCATAGAAACATAACCGTAAACCCCGCTGTATTTCTTGGACAACACCAAGTATTTGTGGAAGCACAGGCCTGAGAGGCCAGTGCGGCAGCAGGTGACCTCTCTCTTGGTTTGCCCTCTGTGCAACACCCGTGTAAGGAGCACCCTTGCCCGCTGCCAGGCAAGAGGCAGTTCCGGTCCCCCAGATCGCATCCCCGCTGCATCCCGGCCGGTGGCCCCTAGGGGGGGGCCTCTCCCCGCCGGAGCCGGCGCCCCGCTCCCGACCGGCTGTTAGCGGCAGAACTGCGTTCGCTACGGCTCTTCCCGCAGGATGAAGACACCCTCATTTCTGTTACCTTAAACGCAGTGTGTCAACGGCGCAGCCGGGCCGGCTGCTCCATGGCAGCCTGCAAAGTAACTGAAACCAAACCGGGTTAGGAGCTCATGGCTGTCAGCGCCATCGATACCAATGTAAGTCACTATGAGGTTACTGATTATTTTTTTTTGTGTGTGCAAATTTTACCCACATAAATCTGCTGTTGCTATGAGTGCAAATAATCAGTCAGTGCTTGGTCGGGCTGGGGGAGGCAAGTTATTGGTCAGCTGGTGCTGAGGTGTTGTATTCTCTTCCCTTGTTATTTCCTTTATCATCATTATTATTGGTGGTAGCAGCAGTGATTTGTGCTATACCTTAGTTACTAAACTGTTCTTATCGCAACCCGTGGGAGTTGCATTCTTTTCGATTCTCCTCTCTGTCCCTCCAGGAGTAGGGGGAGGGCAAGAAGGGGTGGGACTGAATGAACGAGCTGCCTGACTGGTTTTAAACCACGACATACATAAATACAACTAATTTTCAGGTTTATAAAACTTGAATCATTGGATAGATTTTCAAGTAAATAATTACTTTTGCTTATTCTCTTCTAGTACTTTACTATCTTTACTTTTTCTTATTGTATGCATGACACCTAAATACGCAATCCAATGATTTTTATCAACAAAGATAAGCTACTAGCTAAAAGGTTTGGGGATGCAATTCAGGTAAGCTATCCAAAATTCACATTAATACCTGTATGCTAAATCTGTATTGCACAAAGTAGTTCATACTGGAATGAAATTTATCATTATTGCTTTAGCCCTCTTTTGGTTAGAGAATTAATCCTACTATTTTTTCAGGTCTGTTTGTTGTTACGAGAAAAAATTGGATGAAGATTCTGCAAGTCAGAATTGTTTGTGTGCAAGTCACTGGGCTGCTCACCCTTTGCAGATCATGGACCATGATGTGCCCTTGGCCACCTCTGTCTTCTCCAGCTGAATAACAGAAGCCTTCCAAGTAAGATAACAGAAAATGAGAGAAAAATTAACACTACTTGTGGCATGACTTTGTAAAAATTTTCTTTATTCCTTTGGAAAAATGTAATTGGTACTTCCTAGAATTTTGAGATCAGCAGTTATTTATGTGTATAATCACCAGTCTTTAATCAAAGACAAAACACCCTACTTGTTTCTGTACCTCAGCCCACTCTGTATGAGATGAAGACAACAGTACTCCCCAATCTGTTGCTGTGCCCCAGTGACAGTGATGATGGTCTCTCTTGGTGCAGTGTATTCAGGTCTCCCAGTCTTCACTGGGCCCCACCACAGTGGCCTGACATTGATGCAAACTACCACCTGCAGCAGAGCAGTTGTATTTGGGGAAGTAAAGGAGAGGCTGGAGCAGGATGTCTTTAGTTTCATAGGGCTTCTTGCCTTCCAGAACACATAAGGTGGGTGGCAATAAGCTCAGACAGAAATGCACACTGGTATTCTGGTCTCTACCCTGTGCGGCTGAGCCTTGTTGCTTAATGGCACAGGATACCTTCAGCTGAAGTATGCCTGAAAAGTTGTGGGCTTCACACGTGCACAGCCTATCCTCCCATAGCCAGCTCAGTGTCTAGTGCTGAGGATGGGGTCAACTACTCAGCGTGTCGGTCCCTTATAAATTGCTAAAAGTGACATGTCTAGGAGACAAACAGCAGCGTAGAGCACTGTACTGCTAACCCCCAAAAGTCCTGCAACCTTTCCAGTAGCATGTGAGAAAACTTGTCTTATATTTCTTTTGCCTTTGTGACAGAAGATCCATTAATTCTGAAAGGGGATGCTGTGGCCTTGCAAAAAAAGATACTCATCCATACCTGGAAAAATAAGTATACCAGAAGCAGCCCTTGGCCTTTTGTTGTGCTTGTACCCAGCTAGTACTGAACAGCATCCTTGAGCTCTAAGTAGTTCAGCAAAATAAATGGGCTAGCTGCAAAAAATATGCTGTTTTTTCAATTAACATGAGAAGCGAAAATATGCAATATAGCAATTTATAACTTCTGGTTGCATCCTTGGAAAATGCAGCCATAGTCTTTCATCGTCTGCGTATGCAAGGATGTCCTACTTTTTACTTCTTTTTCTTTCTGTTGTGTGATTATTAGCAACAGCGCAAAGCCATATGTTAGTCGCCATGGTGGAGGGGCTGCTCCCACAACCGTCTGAGCAGAGCACATTCTAAACATTGCCGTCTGGAGTCCCAAATACCACAGCAGTAATAGAATCCTTTCTCCAAGTGGTTGCCAGCACTCTCTCCTACTGAAGACCCCTAGGACACAATCCTTTTCCGCATACTTCCTTCAAATGCAGCCTCACATCCGTTGTTCGGATATCATGTGTTCACATTTGTCTTGATTTAGCCTGAACAGTGACTTTGTAGTGACTCAAAGAGAAAAAGAATCCGTCCTTCTACCAGCAGGAACCAAAAAGGAAGTTTTATATATGTATGTGTTGGTAGGCTTCCAGTACTTCACACTATCAAACCACAAGGACAGCTGATGTAAAGTCTAGATTAGAAATAAAAATAAACACTGGAGATGTGCTGCCCTGCATAGTTCAGATGGCTCCAATTTTTGAACTATGTATTTAAAAACCCCAACAGTTATACTTGAATTCCTATTAAAGACCCTGAGCAAAATTTAAATGTTGTTAATGTAAATGAACTCAACAGCAGTGAAATTGTACTAGTGTAGGTTTTATCCTCAAGAAAGCTTTCAGAACCCCAATTCTTCTGGTTATCTGTTAAGATGAGCTGGTGATGGGAGGCTGGGTCAATAGTATTTAAATTGGCTTTGCAAAACTGTTGGGAAAAGTTACCGGCTCAGATCCAAAACCTATTCACATGTGCCCTTTACACACTGATGGGAGAGAATTGAAGAAAAGAATGATTTGCTCTAAGAGCTGGTTGGCCTTTGGCTTCGTTCCTTCTCCCCTGGCTTTCCACGTGTGCTGCCATGGAATTTCTTTCTCCCTGTGCATGACCTGTCCTGGCACTCATCTTCTTTGAGCTGGGGAAGTCACGGCTGCATCCATGAATGTATGTGTCATGAAGAAGGTGAAACAGGCCCTGTGGGTACGTTTGCTGTGTGAAACTTTCTGGTTAAAGTCTTTGTGCATGTTCCTCTTGGTATTTTGTTTAGCTTGCCTCTTGTATCACTACTTACATTCAAAAGCTATCATCTAATATCTTTGTTTGCTACATAGAAAATAGCTCATTACTTGTATTTTTGACTCTGATTGCCATTTAATGAAATTTGTTCCAGCTTTAACATCACTGCAACAAGCTACAAAGAATCATTTGTCTCAACTGCCTGGGTCAGGCTTGCTCCTGCTGAAGCTCCCAGACGGCAGTTATCCAGGAGACAGGAAGAATGCAGTCAAGAATGACGCAAAAATGGGTAAAAGCCAAGTCTCATCAATCTTTGGTGCATGCTATTACCTCTTCATTGTTCTCTGAGCCACATAGCTCAAATGTATTAGCATATGGAGCTGTTTGGTCGCTTTCTGGTGTCTTGTTCCTTTGGAAAAGTACATACAGATTTCAAGGTGCTTGTAATAGTGCAATATCAGACCATGCAGTCTGTGCTGTTAAACAAGGTTGTACCTGAGAGGTCTGTGGTATATTTCTCTTCCATCCCAGCACTGTCCCTTCCCTGTGCTTTGAAAAGGGGGCCTTTCAGGTACTATTGGTGTCATCTATCATCCAATAGGTGAAATCAAAAAGTTCAGTTCAAGAGCCTAGAGCAATTCAGCAGCACATCCCTAATAATGTCAAACCAGTAACAGGCTAATGCTGGCACTAGCTTTATTTGGCTTTAATATTGTGAGAAATTGCTGCATTACTTTTGGAAATGATAATCCAGCTATCCTCCATTGTGGCATAGTAGATATCTGGGGGTTTGTTCTTAACAGGTAGACTCAGGTTTCCTGTAACTGTTAAATTGCGTATCTTATTGAATATGCTGATACCTTTACTTTCCTCTTGGCTGAATTCTGTCCCAGGCTCCACTGCATCCAGCTCTTTCTTTTAGTAAGCTTTCACCTTGGCTACCTTTTCCCAGCAAACCACTTACCATGGATGCTCTCTTAGCACTTTAAATGTAACATTCCTCTTCCTTGCTGCTTTTACTCCTCTGAGCAATATTTTACAAAAGTATTAATTATACAGTGTGCTTAGATACATCATGCCATTATTAACAAATACATGTTTACTCTAGCTTTCCTCATTTGAAAGCTCCTATTTGTGAGCTATAGCTCACGTGTTATCTGACTGAAAAATAAGTGGATACATTCTGTGCAAAAGCAAAGTTTAACATCCTTTTTGTCAATGGGGGCAAACTGTTCTACAGCTTAAGGGGGTGAAAAAGTCCAGCACGGTGTCAGTTTTCAAAGGACTACAGCTCCCATGATCCGCCACAAAGAATTGGACGTGAGATTTCACAGTGATGCACATTGGGAAAATAAGGAGGTATAAACCAAATTTCCTTTGCTTAAGCAACAGAAGTTTATACGCAATTAGGAAGTCTTAAACAGGGAGTAGTAAACTTTCCTGGAAAACCCAGGTGGAAATCTGTGTGATGGTAAACTGAGAGAGGTCCAACTGAGAGAGGCTGAGAAAGATGGCTAAGGGGCTCTAAGGAAACTGTAGATTTCAAGTAGAAGGGCTATTAACCACGAGTGTTTAATTGTCCAAGTAAGGATGACTAACAAGTTACAGGAATGTAAGTTTTAAGTAAAAAAGCCTAGATTCTAGTGAAGTGGAAGAAAAAGGAAGACTGAAAGAATGAAGTACTTGCCTCCATGCCCTGTGTGGGCCCACAGGTCTTTAGAGGCACAGTGGGATGAAGGCTCCTATTTTTCCTGCACCAGGACAAATGCTGTGATCAGGAGTGAGGAGGTGATAGGTGCTGGTTGGTTGTTAGAGCAGCTTTAGTTTTTGTAATGGGCTTTACAAGGGGCAAGGGCTTAAGGGAAGAATTAGAAGCGACCTCCCTGTCTGTGATAGGGTAAATTGATGGGATAAGAAACTTGGATACAGACTAGCTGATAGCAAGTGGTAAGAGACAGTTGAAGGTAGCCTTGTGTTTTCTGCGTCTCCACCTACAACTGTAATCTCAGTTTTGATCTCTCCTTTCGAAACTGTAGGTGTTGGTGATGATCTAACCAGCACCTGCCTCGCCACCCATTTTTCCTTGCAGTGCTGGGTAGGTATGAGGGCAGCTGTATGGTGTGATGGCAGTGGGTGTCACCCTGGCAAATCCCTTTGAAGGATTACCCCAAAATCACCATAATTTTCCTTTTGACCTTAAACCACCTCCAATTCATGATGAACAAACTTGAAAGGCACAGATGTGCAGAGCAGAGAACATCTAAGCTCCACACTACTAAAAAAACACAAGGAATGATTCCTCTGATGTTTATTGTGTATTCTGTCCTCCCTGCGTATCTCTATACAATGAGTTTACTGTAGTGAAGGAGGATCAGCACAAGCTGGATGTGGCTTTGAGCAACTTGATCTAGTGGAACGTGTCCCTGCCCATGGCAGGGGAGTTGGAACTAGACGGTCTAATTCCAACCCAAACCATTCTGGAGTGTTCTATAATGTCCTTCTCCCACAAATCAGAACAATATAGCTAAACCAGCTAGCATTAGATGTTGAAAAACATTCCCCCCCTCCCAAGTTTAGATTGTTGGCCTGACTCCTGCTGTGGTTGATCACGCTGATCCTTAGGAACAGAAAGTACCTTCCTGTAAACTAGCAGTAGTAAAAAGAAAAATCTTACTAGCCCAGGCTAGTTATTGAAAATGCACTGCATCTTTTTGATCTGTTTATAACGTACTCTGGTTACCCAACAGATCATATGTGTTAATTCAGGTACAAGAGCAGTCTTTGTTTTGATTTGGGATTTGTGCTTGGTTGTGTACTGATAGGAATACAAGATACAATACAATTGACTTTTTAAGGTTTTAATATTAAAC